TATGGACTTTTTTGTTACAAGTTACCTTACAATAACTTTGTGTGTTGCTACTATATACATTTTACTGATAAAACATTCCTGCTCGTTATAAAATCTGATTTACTATCCTCGTGATTCTATCAATAGCTAACAGGATCTCTAACAGATTAGGATCTCTAATGCATATATGAACAGAACAATTTTTGACTTTTGAAATAACAATTTTAAACATGCTCTGGGTTATTTGCCTATGATTGGATGTTTTAATTTGCTAAATATTTAAAACTTTGAAACTCAGTAACATTACCATGTCAGCTGGATGTATTCAGGATATATGGAGGAAAGTTGTCAATATGCATTTGAATTCAAAGCACATTGTGTCTCAGTCATGCCAATGGGGACAATTAAAAAAGATCTGTTTATTCTTGATCATTCTGTATGCAGCTTCTGGCCAGTTTGCCCACGTTAAGGTTGAACAGATATCAGAAAGTAAATTCAAAGAGATTTATTATCCTTTCTCATAGTCATACTTTATTGGATATCTTTAGCATCTGATTTGAGAAAGAAGATACATTTGAAACAAATCCATTTAACATGTATAAGATATTTGAAATGGATGCTTTTGTTTTTATGTTTCTTGATAACATTTCCACCTCATCATTTTTCACCATTAACCTGTTGAATGTGAAAAATTCTGAGTAATAGATATTGATGTGATGGTGTTCATATCTTTCTCCCAATAACTGAAGAGATGTAGGCTTTTTTTCTGTGTTGTACAATGATTACCGTAATCACCTTAATAAGAACCCTGGGTGTTTTGAAGACCGATAAAGGTTGTTGCTTATTGAAACCATACACAAGGTAATTTGTTTTCAGAAATCAAGTCGTTAACCATGAAGAAGACAGTGTTCACACTGGATGTTAAGGTGTGGAGATTTTAAAATTTTAGTATGAAATTATTAAACACCATACTTCTGTATATGCTGCAAGAGAAATTTGGCAACACACATTAAGTGTTCAAAGTCAATAATGCCCATTTGCTTGCATTTCACGTGCATCTTTCTCTATGATTACAGTAAAAGAATAATAAATATATCAAAGGAACTGAGATCTTATGTTATTCAGTCGTTAATAAAGACGAGATAATCAGTGGAAAACTGTGGGCTTCAGGCATCTTTTTGAAGATAATTACAAAGGACATTACCAATTAGAAAACCCTTGTTGTATTCACGTCATCATAACAGAAGGGGGTCAAAGCCTATCCTGCTTGGATGGAATTAAATCAAAATGGTGAAGTAGAGGATTCAAGCCTTTATCATGCTACGAACAGATTTGATGTGAAGAATATTCTCAGCTAGATTTTTCAGATGTTGCTTTGGACATGTATAATTAACTTTTTAGCAAAGATTTTTCCACTTCATTTTCTGATTGCAGAATGTTACAGTTTTTAAATCAGAATTGTTTCCATTTTCAAAGTGTCTTCAAGTTTTACAAGTATCATTATTATCACTGACTATTTTTACTGTGGCTAATGTTTGTAACTAATATCCAAGTATTTGAGAACACAGGAAGTTCAGACATGTATAATCAACAAATTTGATTATTTTAAAGTGTTTTCTGGAGCAACAAGTGCAGTGAGGGAGCAAGTGCATATGATTCTGCAGGTTCTTTGATTTTTGTCTACTTCTCTACAACCAAACAGCATGAGCTGAAGCTGATTTTACTGTTTTTTACATTAAGGACTCCATTTGGCTCAAGCATCTTTACAAAAAATACATGTAAATGAACTGCTTCAGAATTTCACACATTCTCCTGAAAATAACTTGTATAGTTCATGAAAAAGAGTTGAAACATTTTTTAATTCAAATACTGCAATATGATTTCAGCTCATAATACCAGTTAAGGTCAGATTAGTGAAATTTTCTTGAAAAATATTGAAACTAACAATATTTTAGTGTCTTCATGCATATATTTATTATGTAAGCTGTCCAAGTGAATGTGAATTGTAATATTATATGACCAGGTGAGCTATAGTCCTTTGGCACTCTTTTTTTGTAAAGTTCTGTTTAAAGAAAACCTCGAAAGTAGATTTAATCAGATCTTATTATTTTTGTTTGGAATTAGGGTATCCTACAGTCCTGCAATAGCAACCATCTGTACAATGAAGAGCAGATTCATCCTTTTTAAGAAAAGCTAGAAACTATTTTGGTTTGGAATTAGGATATACTACAATCCTGAAATAGTAAGTCATCTGTACAATAAAGGGCAGTTTCATCTTTTGAAATTTTTGAAAGATTATGAATTTACTTACCTTACACATGAGCTGATATGAAGTATGCCCACTGTAAGTGACCAGACAGATTTCTAATTTATTAGTTGAATTTATTAAATATAAATAAATGATACTTGATATCTAATGGTGTATATGATGTACACATGGACCATAGTTTCTTCAGTGTTAAATATACAGATAAGTTTGGATATGGATATGATTATTCAACAAGTTAATCATACTATATGCCTCGTGTCTACAGCCCAGTAGCCAACTTATTTCAATACACTGTCTTGCTGATCATGGGAGTGGCAACCTAGTTAGCCCTGTCTCTGTATTGTGCATCAAATGGCCTATTTATTAACCTAATTGGCTGACATAGTGAATTCTCAAAGTGATTGATTCAAGATTTGAGTCTGTTTCCTTCCTCAAAAGTAACATAAATCCATTACAATGAGGTGATATTCGCCACAAATATTCTTTCAAATGATGATCAGAATTATCCCAGAAAGTTGCAAGGAGATTGGCCAGATGAAACATGTGCAAGATGGGCGCTCTCTGGGGAAGGAGGTCTGATAGGACTGCTGGATGAATGTTCACCAGTCGTTGATAGAGATGTCTGAGGGGAGATTGGGTGCATTTGAGGATATGGCCAGATTCTGATCAGGGGGCCCACAGAGTTTCTGATGTTTGAAGAATAGCTTTAGTGACATGTTGGAAGGGTTTATGGTAATCTGATGCCATACAGATTGTTCATGCTTGTTGCCTGGCAATACCTGAGAAATTGACAGTTAAGGTAAGAGCTGTTTGTGAAGGTGTCAATTGGAGTTTCACATGTTAACGGCATGCACTAATATCATGTATAAATTTGATTTGCTAAGGTGGAAGTAGTGATTTGAAATCATGGAGTCACGCTGTATATTTAATTGTCATATTTGTAGATCTTTTAATAAGACAAAATACATGAAGAGTTAATTTGTTTAAAATCACTCCTTCAAATGATTTGGACTTTGCTCTAGAACTGTTGAAATAGTTTCTGTTCCATTAATTCTTTTGTTTTGGGAATTATGTGGTACTCATTAAGAAAGGAGAATATGAAAATGAATTGAACCTTCAAGGTTGTTACAAAGTTTAAAGCTAGTTATTTTCTTTATAAAAGAGTCTGTCTGTCTAAAACGGTATACATGCAGCAAATTTCTCATTTTCAAGGTCATTATTTTAATATCAGTTTGCTTTGGATTTTATATCTATATAATAAAAATGTTCTATGACAAATAATAGGCCTACCTTCCAAGCAGTTTTGTATTTAAGGAGGAAATAGTCTTGTTTTATACAGTATGTGTCATGTAAACTGATGCATGCCAAATCTTTCATGACATTATATAAGTAACTCTTCACAAAATGCTGCTCGACATAATCAAATTTTATATTACCAGAGAGGGTAGTTGAGAATTTATATACAAGGGTCAGCATGCTCTACATTAGCATTAACAGAAGACTGGGAGTCCAACCCGAACAGTCGGGCATCTGAGGCAGTGTATTGGTCTAGTTACTATTGTTTGAGTGGGTGAAAGGTGGAAAGTGCAAGATCTGGCACCAATAACAGCTGGAATGGCCAGTGTGTAGTATATTTGGCAGAGAGAGAGCATGACTGTCTTTACTGGTGTTGGAGGTATGCTGGCTATCTCCAGTGTTTTACCGTGGTGACAAATTGGTGAGTTGATGAGGAATATAACTGTTTGCATGTTTCCCATGTTTGATGACAAATACTTGCGTAGGGATCTTTGGGGAAATAGATGCTGTGGACTCCTAGTTTTCTCTGGGAACAAATATGTCCATTTTAATTCTTTATAACCTAAGGTTGTATGGTATGTATGCAAAGTGAAAGTTTGGTACAGCCAGTATTTGCTTTAACAATGTGGCCCAATTTGTAAATTTTGATACATGTGAACCAAGGCGATTTTGTAAAAATATTTAATATCTTTACACATTGCAAAAGAGTAGTTGTGATGTGTTTGGGAAAGATCATCCTAGATCATCAAGGTTTGCAAATAGAGCCTGTTAAAACCTTTCCATATTCATACTGTAAAACATCAGTGCGAGAGCACATTCAGTTAAGGTTTCGATCATTCCAGCTAATTCATTATTTCTGTAATTTGCTGCTCTGCTAGTTTTCAGTGGATGTGACTGATATTTCATGGAGCAAATACCAGCTGTCAATGTATAAATAATGACTTCACATTACTGTCTATTAAAGTATAGCAATTACAGTAATTATTAATTGTGATGCAGCAAATCTAGCTTGAAGGTCACAACTAATCCTCTCTTTATGTGACAGTGTTGGTAGTACAGCTACCACAGACCATACACAAGAAGACTGTGGTTGTTTTATGAGATAGTATGGGTAGTAGGACTATCACAGACATACACAAGAAGGATCTTGTTGCTTCATGTGCCAGTATTGGTAGTACAACTATCACAGACCATATACAAGAAAGCTTTTGTTGTTTAATGTATTAGTGTGGGTAGTACAACTATCTGGTTTTCTGTGTTGTTGTTTATATGGCGGCAATCTGTAAATAATCGCATGTGGGCCAGACAATCCAGTGATGAACAGCATGAGTATCGATCTACACAATTTGGAAACCACTTTTAGCCATATTGCAGCAACATAATGATGGAGGTCACCAGAAATAGGAGGATATGGCCTTTATTAAAATCATTCTTATCATCTTTTGCTATTTTTCAGGAATACCTAAGCCATGATGGAACGTCTGGAAAAGTTTCAAATAATCTTCAATAATCCCTCGGCAACTTACTGTGCTGGCGATACTGTGTATGGGTATGGCTGGGTCATCGTCAAAGAGGCAGTGTATGTTCAAAGTAAGTTCTATTTTCTTTGTGATTATTTTCAAATAATCTGTCTAAAAATACACTCTTTTAGGAATTGCAAAAGTAGAATATATTCATTGGGAATGAATAGGCTTGTAACTACTTAGTCAGAAGAACAGCAGTAGCTCTTCTGTGTGAATACCCACTACTCCCACTTTTTGTGCACACTGACCAATCTACCACATTTCCAAGTGATCTGCTGTGCACTGAATGTCATTACCGTATCCTAAATGTGCTGCAAGAGAAAAAAGATAATTATTTTACACTCAAGTTTTCAAGGTAGAAGTGTACACATGGTGCAAGAAATAAAGAACAGAGATTATATGTTTTAAAAATTTTTGCTTTTCATATTCATCAACCCAATGGTATTCACACTTATTATGTATCAAAATGGCACCATTTATGTTATCATGTTTATGAATAAACGGGTCAATATTCAATTGTTTAGGGATTTTGTAAGGTGACCTGGACACAACATAAATTACAGGGACTGCGTCTTGGATGCTCGATGGAATGATTATATTTAAGGGGGAATTAACTTGAACACTGAACATAAATAGTGCAAGGTTAACGATTGCCTAAATATATGCAGTGCAGGATTCCATTGGTTGCTAAGCTCAAATTGCCTGAATTAGTGTTACCAAATTTGGTGGTCACCTCATGAATCCAGTTTAAATGGTGAAGAACCTCCAGACTTTGCCAAGAGAAACAAGGATCCCATCAAAGGAATTTTAAGGGCTTATTTTCCTACACAAAGTATGTCTAGTAGGCGAATGGATCAGAAACCAGAGGCTGGTCTCTTAGGAGGTTCAGAGAGTGATGAACTGAAGTTTACGATGGTTGGTGAGACTGCAGAAATGGCAACCAACTTGTATAAACTGTTTATTTCCTGGCGAGCTTGCTGAATATCTAGGATGGTGATTCACACTCAACATAAAAAGCTCATTGAGAACCTGTTCATATCATACCTACATACATGGAGGGTTTTCTTGTGAGGCCATAAACCTGTGTCTGATATGCTTGCTGGCAGAAAGAAATATGAGGTAGACCAGCATGAAAACAGGTTTTAAGAAAATGGAAATAATGGAGTTCATCTTGGTTTTAAATGTTTCAGGAATTATTGGCTTCGGAAAGAAAGTTTATCTTTTTTTTTCAAATGAAGGATGTGATATTTACGAATGTAACAAAAAATATGTTAAAGATTGATAAACATGATTATTTATAAATCTAAATAGGAGAGATTGATGTTAAGGTGAAAGAGTATTTGATGATAATGTTTAAGTTACTTTGCACATATATCATGATAAGATGATCAGTAATAACTCAATTAGACAAGCCTTTCCACTGTCCATCTGTTATGTTTCTGTTTCTTCTCTGAACTGGCTCAAGTGATGAGGAGGTTGTTTTTGCACCATAGTAGGATGCATGGCTTTGAATATCTAAACAATCTAATGTGAAAAACCTCCATATGTGATGAAATTTTTATAATTTAAGGTTGCCATTATAGCTGTATTGTTGCTATCACTGTACACATAATCCCTGGACATTTCTGCATGTATGAACGTTATATTTGATAAGTTGTGAGAAAATGGCATGCACATTCTCAGATATGATAGTTTATAATATGTTGCATTGCACAGAAATTGGGAGAGCTAAAGAGCCTTGTGATTCTTTTGGGGGGTTCTTGGAGCATTATCAGACAAGTAGACTCTAATATGTGCAAAGTCTATGGCAAACTGTACATTCTTACTCCCTGATTACAAAATAGATTAATCCATCCTTTTTAGGCATTAACCTTTACAGAATTTCCTGTTAGAATAGCACCTATGCTGGTTGTAAGCTGCAACCAAATGGATGGCCTCATCAGTTAATAGACTACTGAGTGTGTGTCATCTTACCCTGAATGTGTGGATCATTGTTAACTAATTGAACACAAGATCGCCTAAAAAATGAACTTTTCTCAATATATGTTTGCTGTGTCTATCACAAGTTAAATTACAAATATATGCATGCTAGCCAGTAAGAAAAGAATTCTCCAAAGGTTGTATAGTTTCAGTTGAATTGTGAAGTTCAAAGAATCCTGTTCCACTAAAAAACTTTGTCACTGGAAGCAGTGTCCTCCTACTTCTTACCGTAAATGCCTTTTAATCATGTCAGAAATGACACCTCATTTGTGCAGTTCTTTTACATAGTTAACCTGATTACCCCTTGTCTAGACTTAACGATATTTTCTTTTCTTGGTGCAAAAGAAGTGAGACAGTTTTCACAACGGTCGTTCTAAATCAGTCAGAGCAAGCGTCCTGATCAAAGCAGGCTCCAGATATTAAGCATACATACTTAGCATGGATCTCGTCAAATCACAGACAGTTGAACTCTTAATACTCCAATGTTGAAAGATCAAAGGATTACTAAACAATTGTCGGACAGATACTTTAAACTGTAGAGAGCATTTACATTGGTGACAACTCTGCTGCACTTTTGCCACATGCTTGTTAAAACTAACTTTTCATTTAATCCCAGTGTAATGGTACTGATAAGTCATACAGCTTTATTTGCTACTCTGTTGAGGTCATGATGGAGAATGCACTAGTCTTAATTCAAGCATTTACGTTAGTGACTGTTTGCTTGAATTTGAATTCAGCTGCTGCCACCTGCTTGCTGCAGATATTTTTCAACCATGTACTCAAAGTTAAAAACTTTATACCAGACAGGCCTCCTTTAATCTCTATATTTTTCTGATTGGTCGACATTGAAGGTAGTAAATGTCATTCAGTATGAACAAGGTGTCCCAAAACCTTCTGTACACAATATGAGTATTTGATTCTGGTGAATGATGACAATCATGGCAGCTGGAGCAGGATCTCAGTTACAGATTCTTTTAGGCAATCTCTGAGTATCTTGTGTAAAGAATATCTTGAGCACTTGTGATTGGAATTTAACAAAACTTTATGAACATGGTCTCTGGGCATGGTTGAAATTGAAGATCAAGGTCATTAGACCAGAAGTGCCAACATTGTTATTAAGGTAGAGTTCTGTTTCCAATCTGTATTCCTTTGGACATATGTTCTCCTGAAACAAATGTGCTGTTATTAAACTAGAAGTGCCTCTAGTTTTGTTATATGAGGCAGTTTGCTAGAATCTGAAGCCATTCTGTTTTGAGGTTGTACTGCTTTGGGATTATGTTTTCTTGATATGGAAAGGATGTTATTAAACTAGTAATGCAGATAACTTTTTTAAGGTGATGAAAGGTATATCTTTTTCTCTTTCAAAGTTATAGAGCATTGTGCATGTGTTTTCCCAAACGAGAATAGTATTATTTAACTGGAATTGCTCATAACTATTTTATGTAAGATGCATAGCTAGGGGCTGTGAATTTTGTCCTCCGCCATGTATTCAGCGGTCTCTGTCCATCTGTACGTCCCGATTCTTGTTAATGCGATATCTCATGAACCGTTGTACCCAATGTCTTCAAATTTGGTGACAGCCTACATTGGGGGATTATGCTGATTTTGGTGACCTTGATCTTTTTTCAAGGTCACCACGGCATTTTGACCACTTTTCAAACTCTTGTTAACACGTTATGCCATGAACTGTTGTACCCAATGTCTTCAAATATGGTGAAAGCCTACATTGGGAGATCATGCAGACACCAGTCGGTTTTGGTGACCTTGAAATTATTGTCAAGGTCACCACGACACTTTGACCACTTTTCAACCTCTTGTTAACGCGATATGTCATGAACTGTTGTACCCAGTGTCTTCAAATATGCCTTCCTTTTTAATTCTGTCATTTTGCAGGTCCCAGGAAACCATGATGTTTTGAGAGTTTTATACAACATGAATCAGTATTTCTATTAAACAGTGGGATGATGGGGTAGTCTAGTGGTTAAAGCGTTTGCTCGTCACCTGAAGACCCGGGTTCAATTCCCCACTTGGGTACAATGTGTGAAGCCCATTTCTGGTGTCCCCTGCTGTCATATGGCTGGAATTTTGCAAAAAGCGGAGTAAAACTAAACTCATTTAAACACTCTATTAAACAGTCAGCTCACACGCATTCTCAAAATCACACTCACACCCACCTCACACATACACTCTAGTACTGCCAGGTGTCTATAGCTTCCTCTGAGGAATAAGAAGAAACATGCAAACTTGTGAGAAGTAGTCCTACGTTATTTTAATGCTTAAAGTCATAGCAGGAAATATATTCTATGTATAATGGTTTCCTAACTAAGTATTTGAAGTAAATTTACAGACACAAGGATAAAATATGTTGTTTAAAAGAAAGGTGTTATAACATTTCTGCTCTGGTGATCTATCTCGAGATATCATTTTGATAGCGGAATAACCCACAGCAGGTGCCAGAAACATTTACGTTAACATGCAGGTATGCTTCCCATACGCCTTTATCGTGAAAGACATTTCTGACATGCCGTAAAGGTTAGCAAGCTATTTCTCTTCAATTTGTTATCAAATGTATTCATGTTACTACTACCAGGATTAGTGTGTTTAATAGATATGCAGTATCTTTTGTATCATAGATTTAAATAATACTTAACACACAAGCTGACGTGTAAATTGTGACAAGACTATAACCTGATTATTATCAAAATTAATATTTAAATTAGGCCATGTGTAATGTTGAATATAGATGCTGTGGGATTAGTTCAGTGTTTTATATGCTTGATTCTCTACATTATAGTTAATGGGTTGTTTTGACAGACAGTGTATGCTAAATGTTGTACAGGTACAGCTAGTACTGATGATACTATAAACTGATAAACTGGGGATAAATTTAACTCACAACTTAAACATTAATATTTATCATGAATTTCTGGTACAGGCTTAATTGTTTACATGCCATCATCATGTAGGAGTTATTGTACAGAGTTAAACGTTAAATAACAAATGCCCATATAAAGAAAAAACATCACAATTCAAAACTGTGAAGGAGTAGGGAGCCAGCAATATTTCAACCATATCATAGTTCTTCACACATTGTATCTTTGTGGGGCCTTCTATACAACAGATGAATGCTTCTGTAAGACTGACTCGGTGCACAGATTTGGACCATTATAAACCTAATTTACCCAAGATTTGAGCCAAGAGATATCTTCATATTTTTGTATAGGTGTGCTCCCTGTAGAAACATCTGAGACACCAATATCTGTCTCATGCTATTACATCCTTAACATCTCGGAAAAGGTAAAGTGGAAACTTTGCTGAGATAACTTCACAAGGTGTATGTTTGCTTGATTAGAACTACATTTCAAAACACTCAAGTACCTACATCATTAATAGTATATGGTGGTGTGGGGATTTTTGTTCTTTTTTTACAAACTTTCATAAATAGGTCAATTCAAGAAAAGAGAATGTCATAAATGAAAACTACAAAGCCCTTTGCCTCTTCACTAGAGAACTCTTCACTAAAGCTGTTCCTACAAGGCCATTTTTTATAAGAATCTATCTGGCAGAATGATCATGTGGTTCTTCATGCAATAAGCACAAGTTGCCAGTAGGTATTTATGGTTTGAGCAGAACTACTGACAACATGCATGTAAGTCAAATCACTTTGATGTTTGAGACAATTAAATATCTAGATGCACACATTTCAGAAAAACGTATCAGAATCAGAAATTTGAGCAAGATGTTCAACACACAGCCATTGCTTATAGCCAGGAATATCCTGTAGCCTACAAAACAGACGTGAGTTTTGGGGAATGATATCTAAATGGAGATGTGTGGATATTGGAACCAGTAGCTCTCTGACGATACTCCAGGAAAATGGTGAGGAATTTCCCCCCGATGAAGACATGTAGTACCAGAATAAGGAGTGGGAGGAAAGGCTACTTTAACAAAGCCCACGTGGATATGCAGGGTGGATCTTCAGGGCCTTGCTCGATATACAAACAAGCGGAACATGTGTTCTTTGTCTGTCTCTGTTGGAATTAACCTGCCAATTATGTTTATTTGGACGTATCATTGTAAAGGATATTGGGCTGATTTGTTCAAGGGTTCAGGCTTTTGATGAAAGGCAATTGATGTATGAGCTAAGGGATGTAGGTAAGCTTGTGCCTGTAACATTGAAAATAAAGAAAATGGTGTTAATGATTTTTCATTGAGATATACCATCTAAGATCAACTTGGAGCTTTTATCTTGGAACAGAAGATGGCTATCACGTGTTGAGCAATTTCCTCTGAAAATAGCTTTAGTTATGGACCAAGGAACATTATGGTTCTACATGTATTTAGTCTCTTTTTTGTATTTAGTCTCTTTTTCACTCTTTTTACAATGAGGATCAGCCTTACACTGCTATCAACCCAATTATCAAAATTCATCAATCAATTTTGTGGATATCAGGTGTATAAACAGGGCTTAAAATAACTGTATACATGTCTGATGAAGAAAAATAACATAAATGGGTGTTGCTGAGGCTTAAATTATGAGCTCTTCTGAAAGGAAGAGATGTGATTATATATGCGTTCCTGAAAACAATTACATACAATACATATTCCTGAAAAATGATTGAAACAATTTTGAATCATTTGTCTTCAGCTAAGTGTTGCCATCATATTTGTAGTCATTACATGATGTTGAAATGGACTAGATTCTAACAGCATGAATAACACAGATTTATGCCATAGTTGATGTCTTCCTCATACCGGTACCATGTGAATAATCTAGTCAGTGCTTGTTTATGCCAGTATCTATGGTTACAGGTCTTGCATCAGGAACAAGAATGACAAAATGGGAAGGTTTGTTATAGAGCCAGTCTGTTAGCACACCAAAATTTATCACAATTTATGCTCATGTGTATATAGCAGTCAGCTTGTAGATCACTGCATGGCATAGTGCAACAGTATGCAGTCAATTACACAAGCTAATTCATCAGATGTGACAAAAAAGTTTCATTGTTTTATAACTCATTGATTAAGAGCTGTCATGTTGACATTGCATAAACAGGGTTTTTTTCATTTATCATCCATGAAACAGCTAACCTCTGTACGGTATCATTAAGATGTTTGTTTGCTTTTGCATTGAATGTAAGTACTTAATGTTAACTTGTAGGGCTGCTTGCATGATGTACCTGCTATCACGTAGTTACATATTGTGGTATAGTACATTAATATATCTTCAGATTTCATGTATATATCTTCAGATATTTCATGTATATATCTTCAGATTCTCAAACAAGTTACATTCAACAAACTTTGTTTATGTTTGTGTAGTTATCAGATGACATTAACTATAGATGTCAATAAATTTAACTATAGATGTCAATGAATTGGATAATCCTTAACTTTCTTTTTAGCAGTTTACAATATTTATTTGTTCATGTTTTTCAGATTATTAGTAGGTTTTCCTGGGCAGGATAAGTGCTGAAGTCATGCTTGTGTTAGAGACAGACTCGGCAGAATCAGTTGGCTGTAATTAGTGCTCAGGTTTATCGTGTTATGGCTAAAAATGTGGATTCTTTGTCTGGTCAGCCACCTGTTTGCCCAGCCCTTGTTCTATTATTTGGAGTCCACTTTCATTTAGCTGGAACATTTCTGACTGCTGTACAGTGCCTGTATATAATATCACAGTCCTGAAGTCAACTGTTGAGTCCTGCTTACATTCAATACAAAATATTGCATTGATAAGATAATGTTTTTATGTAAACCTATCAACTTACTTTATTAAGCGACCTCCAAATTACCATTTAAACGAAACACAATTTTGTTAGGACCCATAAAGCCTGTTGTCTTTACTGATATATTTGATATTTATTCCATTCAGGAAATGGGGCAGTGACGTAGCCTAGTGGTTAAAGATTTCGCTCATCATGCTGAAGTCTTGGGTTCTTTTCCGCACATGGGTACAATGTGTGAAGCCCATTTTTGGTGTCCCCTGCCGCGATATTGCTGGAATATTGCTAAAAGCGGCGTAAAACAAAACTCACTCACTCACTCATTCATGAAGTAGTTCTTTCCAAATGTGTATCAGAAACTGGTAGTTAGTGACTTGAGCTATTTGTTTCTTGAAATATGAGTTTGGCTTTGTCTTTGTGGTGATCCTGAACATGTGTTGATAAATAGCATGCGTTTACTGAACTTTACATTTGTTATGAAATATCATTTTAAAGTTAAAGAATCCAAGTACTTTGGTATGATATGTCTAGTGGTTGTCAGTGTTTATTTTTATTGTTTATACGTTTCAAAGTTGATGATTAAGGAGAAAGAATTAGATCAGAAATGTTGTATCCAGAATAAAAAGAAGTTGTTATCCATAAAAATGTGTCATGTATTCATTATGGCAAGGATTATAAGAGGGAACAGTTCACAGGAAATTTGTATATACAACGGGACACAGGTGACTATACATCCTCTCCTGATATGCCACATATTATTTTCCTGAAAATGATAACCTTTAACTTTAATCTTCACGTGTAAGTTACTTGTCAAATGACAATGATAAATTTCTTTGTAAAATGCAATATATTTATATATTTAGAATTTGCACATGTATCAGAGCAGTTGTGCAGAAAATGTTACACCAGCTCAAACGTATCATTGACATTGATTGGAAACACATGTTCTCCTTGTACATTCTGTGACAAACTTTATACAGATGTTTCCTGATAACCCAGTGTATAATCATTCCTCATAATCAATGAGTACATTCATGGAACTCTGGTGCGTGTCAACAGGTGCTTGTTTAGCATGCATACACAGGTTGTTTCTGTTATTCCATCTCCCGATTAAAATACAGTCAAAGATGCACCCCAACCAAAACAACTTTTTGTCTCACCTATCAGATGAAGGTTTCCTAACCACAAATATTTACATTACCCACAGCTAGATGGACATATATGCAGAAATAGCACAGGATGTTTCTAATACTTTGATACTTAGCTTACAACCTCCATCATCACCCATACAGACATGGCCATATGCTCAGCTCAGAAAAAGAAAAGGTATCATTCATCCCAGATCAAATGTTCCCAACGAATGATTATGGGAGGATTCATAGCAATTGATATATTCTGATGCTAAGCGCTATGTATATTTAGCATCTGCCCATCTTAAGGTCTTATATATGTACTGTAAGTGACCCAATAAGAGACCCACCCCTTGTTGATGTTCCCTCAGTAATATTTCAGTGCTTTTTTCTTCCTGGTGTGTATGCATAGCCATGTAGGTGAAAACTGTTGGTGTCGGTCACTGTGTCAAATGTCATCATCCACGGAAGAATATTTTCAATATACTGTGACCTTCACATTAAGTACAGTGTGAATTGTTATGGAATGACCATTTAGAAAATATCATGACGTTACACCAATCAAGAACCAGTCATCTCGATACTGGTGTCGACACTGCCCTTGCCTTGCTGTGCACACCTGGGATCATTTTTGGGCAAATACGGTGTATGTTATTTCTGTTCACTTCGATATCAATGCCAGAACCATTTTGCAGCTGTAAGAGAATCAACAAGTGCCTGTTTGCTGAAGTGATGACGTTATAGAATATGCGGCTTCAGGCAAAATAGTATCACGTAGCCATTCTGAGTAATGCCATTAAGATATCATACTTCTACTGTGCATAAATATTTGGAAAGTATGAATGTGGATATATTTTGATGGTATTCACCTTTAGCACATAGTGATAACAATGTTGTTACAGGTTTTCTAGTCTTTGAATAATAGTCATTAGCTAAACCTGTAGGTTTCTTCAGCAAATGTTGTATATTACAACTGAATGTAAGACAAATTTTTAAATATACTTCATTTTTCATCAGTCATGTTTTGCTTGCCAATTGCAAACAGTTCAGGTAATGTTGCCTAATTCAGTATCGACAGTGACTAGACAGGTAACAACACATATGGGGCCTTTATGAACACAATACCTTATAACTTACAGAAACAAACAAGTCCTAACCAAATAAACCTAGCGTGGTACATGAACATATAAGGACACTTTTGATGCTAATGTATATAGCAAAGCTATCAGGTGAATAATTGTGTGAATGAGTTGGGTATTACGCCGCTTCTAGCAATATTCCAGGAATATCACGTCGGGAGACACCAGAAATGGACTTCACACATTGTACCGATGTTGAGAATCGAACCCGGGCCTTCACAGTGACGAAAGAACACTTTAACCACAGGGCTACTCAACTGCCCTGAATAATTGCGTACTTCTTAATTCGTTGTATAAATGTATTATGTGACAGTGATATAAAAGTATCCATGCTTTATTGTAAGTCATTTTCTGTGGGACATTTAAACAGTTTGCAACATTATGGTTGACTGAGCTGTATTATAGTGTTGACTATAGACACTATAAGGAAAATTAATTTAAAGGATTTTGAGACTTGAATTTGAAAATGACATATTATATATATGTGTGTTCATTATATTTTCACTGCTTTTCTTGAGCCATATTTTCTACCAGTCAGTTATTTAGTGGATGTATAATCCTTGTCATTCGCTTTTTACACAAAATAAGACTTTAAGCATTATAGCTGAAGACTATCATTTTATTCATTTTTTGGGAAATCTGAAACAAGCTTACTTCACTATATTGAGAAAAACCAGGCCATGGAAGTTTTGTGTGGTTGTGAAATAAAACAGCTTCATTGATGTATTGCAACTTGGTTTCCCTACAATCGATATGTTCCAGCTGATGTACTGCCTAAAGTTATCATTTCCATCAAGGCACTGTGAAATACAGTCCCTTTGGGGTATTCCTGAGGAACACCAAGACATTTATATAGAGTAAATTAAACAGGCAACAGAGGCTGATACCCAATAGGGTTCACAGATTGGGGGATTATTTTTCTCTGTCAGAGGGAGCATATATATTTGATACTGTGCCAATGTTTTCTCTACTGTTTCCATGCCTTGATTATTGTTGCCAATAAAAGTAAGCAAACAAGGCCCTCTTCATGATTTGTCAGCGACACACTCTTTATTGGTATTCCAGGAAAGAGAATACAATGTCCAGTACTTAGTTACCAAATTCAGTTTATGATAAAAGCACCACAGGATACAACAGGGACTGTAAAATACACATATTTTGTGGTCTCTTGATACAAGTATAACATTATTACTGTCTGCTTCCTCTTGGCTTAAGTGCTGTTTCTATCAGCACCCTACTGGCTACATGGTCTGTGAGACCGTGTTGTGGCAAGTGCCCCAGTGACCAATATTCATGACTTGGCATGGTCGAGGGTTTAATGTTTACTCCTTGACATTCAAACATATTCATCAGCTTCTGACACCAACACTCTTCGTAGATTCAAGAAGAATCATTAATTGTGTGATGGGGTGCACAGTCAAGTACTTTTGTTAACTGGTACTCTTGAAGGATAATGGCATTCTGAAAATAGACTTTCTCATAAATGTCAAGAAGTGGAGTATCCCAGTACTTCACAACAAATGTTATATATGGTTACTACTCACTCTTATGTCCTACATCTTACCACATACTTCAAAGTCTTGTCTTTAAAGTGTGATCTACAGGGGTCAAAGAGTTTGCGACCAAACTGTTCTTGAAATATCCATGAATTTGAAATTTTCATTTCTGGATCAGCTGAGTTGTACAGTTAACTGAGTCAAGGAGAAACTATAAAGTACACCATTGCATTTTGAATCGTGGAATGACAGGCTGTCATTCATTGGTGTTAGAGTGTGTCATATGTCCTGGGAGAAATGAGTTAACATTAAGAACAGTCTGAGTTATGAGTAAACATGATCTCACTCAGGTCGAAATCT